GGACAAGTCTTCAGTCTAGTACTTTGGCTTCATCTAGCCATTGTTTTTTTCTCTCTTTTTAAAGGAGAATTTTGAGACTTTTAATTATATTTAAAATATCTTATTTAATTGTTAAATATTAGACCTTAATATTTATTGATTTTTGAGAATGTTTTCTTGCATCATTTTAGTATGACCATGGTCATGGCATTGAGTGTGAAAAGGTATAGACTGCTTTATTGTGATCTATGTATTTTTGCTGGTGATTTTTTTCTGTTTCTGTTACATTGTTTGTTTAAACTGTGTTGGTTTCTCAGTCATTGTCTTTCCACAGATTCTGCACTTGGTCTGGTGTTCTGATTGGCTGTGATATCTTCCTGGAAGGAGGGCATTGGCTGGCATGAGTTCATGAACATGGAAAGTTCTCCTGGATCAGTTGACTTGTGTCTCTGCTCGGTCTTCTCTCACCTCCAGTCGGTCGTGGCAGATGGCTGCTGGTACTGAGCCTGGTTCTGGTTCTGCTGAAGGTTTGTTCCTGGTAGACAGTAGTTCTTCTCCACCATCACTACATGCCTGCTCTTTATGTTGGACTGCTGTTAAGTCAACAACTCAACACTAGCGATATACTGTCGCCCCCTGCTGGTCAGATAGAGTGAATGCTATGTGTAATAACTCCATAGAATCTGCTGGGTTTTGTTTGGTACAAACTTTTTAAACTACTTTGATAATCATCTGAGCTTATTGTGCTAGCAATTGGTGTACATGTGATTAAACAAATTATTTCAAAGTGCATTGAGATGACATTTGTTGTGAATTGGCAATATATAAAATTTTACTTTCAAACTAACAAATAAGCCTTACCTATAAACAATACAAAAATGCCAACAACCAATATAAAAAAAGTTCAAAACAATCAAAAATAGACATCAAAACACTCAAAAATAGACATAAAAACACTCAAAAGTAAATATCAAAAGCTTTTAGATATAACGTTAATTCACAACAATGTTGTCGAGGCATTTTACAAAAAGTCATTTCAATTTATTCAGATCACTATTGATTCAAGTTATCAGTTCATTAGGTTCAGTTAATTATACAGTAGTTTAAAAAGTTTGTACTTAATGAAACCCATCAGATTCTACGGAGTCATTACTTAAGGCATTCACTCCTCTTGACCAGCAGGGGGAGACAGTAAATCGCTAGTGTTGAGTTGTTGACTTAACAGCAGTCCCTCATACAGAACATCCATGTAGTGACAGTGGAGAAGAACTACTCCTGTCTACCAGGAACAAACCTTCAGCAGAACCAGAACCAGGCTCAGTACCAGCAGCCATCTGCCACGACCAACTGGAGTTGAGAGAAGACCGGGCAGAGACACAACAACAAGTCAACGGATCCAGGAGAACTTTCCATGTTCGTGAACTCATGCCAGCCAATGCCCTCCTTCCAGAAAGAAACCACAGCCAGTCAGAACACCAGACCAAGTGCAGAATCTATGGAAAGACAATGGCTGAGAAAATAAATTTTAGTTTCTAGCTAAGCATTTTGTTTAGTTAGAAACACCAGAGCGCCACCTTCTGGCCTCTCTCCAGATCAGTTCAGGTCACAGAATGGAACTGTTTCTGTCTTGGTTTTTCCCCTCTGTGGGCTGCCACCTTATCGTGGTGGAGGGGTTTGAGTGTCCCAATGATCCTCGGTCTGTCGGAGGCGGCCTGTGTCTAGAAACCTCTATTTGGGTCGGGTCTGCTGGGTCAGACAAGTCCTTGGTGAGGGATCGGACCAAGAGCAGCCCAAAGTTCGCTTAGAAATGTAAACACAGAGTGTTCCTGTTTAGAGATGGCGATATAAATAGGGTTGTAACAGTTATAACAGTGCGACAGACAGAAGTCAGCATTTCTCCCTGTGTTTCATCAGCCTGGCGGGCCACCAGGCTTTATTTTTTCCCATCCAACCTGTTTCCCTTCATTCATCCATCCATCCTGGCTCCCTTCCCTTCCTGGGAATTATGTGACCATTTTTATTTCTTTACAGGGATATTTTCACAATCTATTAAAATAAAAATGAATATGACCAGAAAATCCTTGGAGTTTGTCTTTGAATGTGAAGATTTGACATGAAGAAAGGAATGTGATTCTGCGGCACACGATCAAACTCGCTCTGCTCCCCATAGATTAAATTTTTTTTAATAATGTGTGTGTTCATAAATTGCTTTTTCAAAATTACTCTGAAATGAGTTTTTCTTCATTTTGTCAACAAAGGGGGAAAAAAGTTTTGACGTGTACTTTTACTTTGACTAGAATATTTTTTTCACACAAGTATGTGTTCTTTTACTTTAGAGAATGAGTGCTTTTGTTCTAGTCCTCCTCAATTAAATAACCGTTATTGTAATAATACAACCAAATGTGATACATTTTTTATTACCGTTTGCTCTAATGCTGTAAAAGTATTTTTTGACTACACAAACAGATTTGCGATCTTTTATTGTCTTACAAAAATGCTCCAATAGACTTTGTTGTTATCAGATTTTTTTTTCTTCTGCAATTAATATCCAGAAAAGCAAAATTTATCATGCAGATGATCTGGGTTAATTATGCAAGTGTAAAATACTTTGACAATGAAATGTAATTCACCCTGTTCGCCTGAGTGTGGCAGCATAAAATCAAAATTGCAAGGAAAATTTCTGTATGAACATTTATTTAAAATAGCTTATTGTAATAATGATATACAATACATCATTACTATTTTAAAAAATACTGATTTGATGGAATCACTTTAGTCATTGTCACTTTTTTTTATTTGTACAATTTTCAGCTCTTGCCTTTGACAGTTTTTTTTATTTTTTTGTGTCTCTTCAAATTGCAGCCTTACTGTGATGTTTAAAAAAATAAATCCTTATTCGTATCTTTAGTCGTTCCGGAAATATAGTCGCATTGCCAAACGCTGCAGTACACTTTGTTCACCAGAGAGAGGCAGTATGGTATCACATTAATAACCTTTTTTTTTTTTGCAACGTATTGATCCACTCCATAGTTTTACAATAAACTGGAACATTTTAAATAAATTTTCAGTTTTTACCTCTGATTTAAATCAGTTCAGTATCCTTGCATGACTTATATTTCTAATTTTTCAAATTTGATTTGTTTTTATTTTAAATCTGTTTATTCTTCAATTTACTGGTTTTAGTGAACTCTGTCACAATTGATAAATAACTTAAATACATTGATATATTTATTTTGTTTGTTCTTTTTTTCTCTGTTACTATCTTTCAGTTTTTAGTTTTCAATCTTTTATTTTTGCATTACTAATATTTTTTAATTTTTTCATCTTCAAAAGATATGAAGAATGTATTAAAATATTAACAGTATTTATTCATATTACTTCTAAAGGTTTGGCAATAAAGCATTTAATTTGTTATTTAATTTTAGCTGTATTTATTTTGTTTACATATGTCCCTTTATTTTTTTCTGTCTTTGCATTTAGTCATTTATGAATAAATCAATTAGTTAATTTGTTTATAGCTTTTGGGGCAAACCCCAACTCCATAACATATAAATACAAACATTTCTTTCCTTTAGTTACTTCAAATTGTGTCTGCGCAGCATGACTAAGGTCTGTATGCGACACACAGCTTCTGCTGGGAAACACATGATCTATCATCTTTGCAGGGAAAATCATGATAATTTTTCCAGTTACCAGGCAACCAAGGCCTAATAACTGAGGACGGACTCTGGAGCGCCAGCAGAGGACTCTGAGGCGTCGCTGACAGCTGCCCACCTCCGCTGCTCTCACCTGAGCAAGGAGGGAAGATCTGCAGTGCATCAGGAGCTGCAGAAAGCGACACAGACCAGAGGACAAAGACAAGAGATGGAAAGAAATCCTCGTGTTTAATGTTGAAACATAAGATGCTTCTTTCGCTGCTGTTATTATCTACACAGCTGTCAGACACTGGGCTGATTTGTTTTACGCTTCTCCTGGTCCATCACTTTTCCCAGCGTTGCATAACTCTCCCCATGTCACCTCGGTCTGTTTTTCCAGCTCTGGCACAATGCAGCGTCATGCAAAGAAAGCAGGAAAGTGCCTCTGGCATGGCAGGCAGCGGGGACAGATGGTGGATCCAGCTCAGATGCACAAGGAGAAGCCCCAGCAGAACGGATGAATCATCATTCCACCAACTGCTTCTCTCTGCACGTCGGGATTTAGCTCGCTCACTCCTTGTTTTAGCCAACAACAACAACAAATAATTCTGTATTTACAGGCAATAAATGCTTCAGAGGGATTGTTTTCAGCAAATGGAGCTAAATCCTGAAGCTTTCACAAGATGCTGGAATAATCAGTCTCTAAAAGTCTTGGGGCAAAGTTCTTAATCTGTAAAATATTCATAGACATGTGGGGCTGAACAAGCCTTAGTTAACATCTGCCTTAAAAAGGGCAGCTTGTCAAGGAAAACCTGCTTCCTCCAGAATTAATGTCAAAAAACTGGAATAATATGTATCTAATCTTACATGCAGATATTGTCAGATTAATTTTCTTGAGTGAGGTCAAGACTGCAGACAGAAGATCATAATCCCACCTCGTATAGCTGGGTTTCCTTCATCTTCAAGTCTTTGTCTTTAAATCAGCTTTGTATTAATTTCTCTTGTGTTTTTATGCATTTTATGAAACTTTGTGATCTTGAAATGTGCTGCAAAAATAAAGTTTCATTCACTAATTTACTAAAACTGAATTGTTTATAATTCAGCAATGCCAATTCAAATCTAAACTATAAGCTGCATGAAATTTATTGCTACTTTTTAAATATATAGCTAATAGTGAATATTCCTCTGCTTGTGCTCAGAGGGAAACTTCACCGCAGCTTCATGCGTTTCCGGTTGTATCGAGTCGTGCTTCACCAGGTGCTGAGACGCAGCAGGTTGCGCGTCTGCGTCACTCACAGTTGAACCGAGACGCTGATTGGCTGGTTTGGAGCTCCGCGGGGTCTCCGCGCTCCTCCTCCTCTCCACAGCCTGGCTGCGTGATCTGCGCTTGTTGCGGGTTTGTGCGCTCTTCTTGGACAGACACGCCGCGGAGGAGAAGGAGAAGTTGTCGTGCGCGTCAGGCAGATCGAGGGGAGTAAGATTCTGACTTCTGGCTGTTTCTTTTTTTTTTTGTTTGTTTTGTTTTGAATTGGTCAAACTGGGAGGGAATAAGGTACCGGGGCGAGTTTGAGGCGTTTATCTGCGAGAATCAAGCATACCCAACATTATGCGGTGCAATTATGGCAGGCAAGGATAAGACAGTCGTGAGGACGCTGGAGGATTTAACGCTTGATTCTGGTTATGGTGGAGCCGCGGACTCGGTCAGGTCGTCCAGCGTGTCGCTCTGCTGCTCCGACACGCACCAGTCCGTCTCGCATGGAGGCAACTACTGGCATCTGACGGAATCCATGCACAGCAGACACAACAGTTTGGACACGGTTAACACCGTCCTGGCGGAGGACACGGAGATCCTGGAGTGTGCGGGACACTGCGCCAAGCTGCCCGAGCTGGAGGAGGCACCGTGGAGCCTCGGAGAGGTGGAGGGCGCACTGAGGAAGGACGAGGAGCTGATGCTGGGGAACCCGTCTCCGGAGGTCCTGGCGCGGCTGTCCGCCCTCATCAGCCGGGCGCTGGTGAGGGTGGCCCGGGAGGCGCAGCGGCTCAGCTTGCGCTACGCCAAGTGCACCAAACATGAGATCCAGAGCGCCATCAAGGTGGTGCTGTCTTGGACCATCTCGGTGAACTGCATCACGGCGGCGCTCAGCGCGCTGTCCCTCTACAACATGTCCAGCGCCGGAGACAAGTTCAGCCGCGGCAAGTCGGTGCGCTGCGGCTTGGTGTTCTCCGTGGGGAGGTTCTTCAGGTGGATGGTGGACAGCCGGGTGGCCTTGAGGATACACGAGCACGCCGCCATCTACCTGTGCGCCTGCATGGAGAGCCTGTTCCGGGAGGTGTTCGGCCGCGTCCTGCGCAGCGCGCTGGTGGAGAGGGACAACGGGGTCCCCAAGATCACGCTGGAGTCCATGGAGCAAGCCATCAGCAACGACTCGGAGATGTGGGGTCTGCTGCAGCCCTACCAGCACCTCATCTGCGGCAAGAATTCAAGCGGTAGGAAAGCAGCACAAAGCGTCCTTTCTAAACACACACACTTCCACTGACAGTGGGAGACAACCTCCATCTGGACTCTACTAGTCATGACAACCTGTTCGTTCAGGTGATTATGGCCTATAAATATCCAAAGCCCCAAATATGTCACTGATTCATTAGAACATAATCACATTTTCACACACAAATGTTTTGGTTGTGGTGTGAAACAAGACATGTAACTTTTAGATGTTTCCTTTGTCCTGCATGTTTGAATTAAATGGTGAAGCTGTTTCCAAATCAAATCAAATTTTATTTGTATAGCACATTTCAGCAGCAAGGCATTTCAAAGTGCTTTACATCATGAGCGCAAAAACACAAAGTCATGCATCATAGAATAAACAATATATTGTTCCATATGACATTTCAAATAAGACTCTAAACAGGTGTGTTTTTAGTTGAGATTTAAAGGAAGTCAGGGTTTCTGCTGTTTTACAGTTTTCTGGAAGTTTGTTCCAAATTTTTGGTGCATAGATGCTGAAAGCTGCTTCTCCTCTCTTGGTTCTGGTTCTGGGGATGCAAAGCAGACCAGAACCAGAAGACCTGAAGCTACAGAAGTTTCAGTAGCTATCAGGCTCTGCTAATGAGCTAACACTGGAGCCAGGTGAGCTGAAGCTAATAGATTTTAGCTTTAGCGCCGTTGTGAAACTAGCTAAAGTGGGTTATATCTTAAACTCTTGGAAACTGTAACTAAATGTTACAACAAAAGTTTTTGCTAAATCACCAATTTACTAGTTTGTATATTTAACTTGTTGAGCAGCAGCGCCATTAGCTAGCATGCTAACACATGTAAGTTAGCTTAGCATCAGTGCTACTTCTATGCTAACTGCATTTGAATTAAAATTCTTGCTCCAACACAAAAACTTTCTCAACCACAACTGTTATGATTCTTGTCTAATTTTATATTCTGTCCATATAATCATGGTGTGAAACAGTCATCAGTCAGAATAGCTAAAAATATCTCTCGTTAAATCATTTTAGGTTTGTGAGTGTGGATGGGATTATTTTTTTAAACCAGTTTTATAGTTGTAGAAATTTCTAGTGTTCTTAATCCGTCTATAAATGTGCTTCCAAAAAAAATTGTCAGGTTTCAATCTGCCTCCAAAACAAGTTCTCCCTTTCTTGGTTATCAGAGCCCTGCAGCATCAACAGCCAAATTGGTGTTTATGGTGAGAAAAAGATCAAACAAACCCCATCTTGTGTCACTGTGAGCCATTGTGTTTCCCATGCTGTTACATGGCAGGCATGAATGTTAATGAGTGTTTTTGACAGTCTGAGTTGGTGTGCATCGTGCAACAATTTAGCAGAAGCAGGATTTCGTGTTATGTATTGTGCGCTGGCCTTGTTGCTTGTTGATAATGCCGCTGTGTCACTCCAGAAGGTGTAAGTCGTCAGTGAGTGTGGGCTGGCCTTTTATTATTTTTTTTTTTTCTCTATCAAAAAGCACTGAATGAATTGGCTGAAACTGTAAAGCAGAAGGGACTTGACATACTGAGAGCCAAACTGGGACATGCAGTATTGAACAGAAAAAAGTCATTGCAGTGATGGTGTTCAGGCGATAGCTTTGGTAAAGTGAAAAGTTTCTTTGATGTGCATGTGGCCTTGATTTGTTAAATAACAGCTTAGAAAAGAGAGACTATGAGAGGCAATCTGAAGATGGATTGATCTGAAATGGGTCTGCGATGAGAACTGAATCCAAATATGATGGAAGAAGAATCAGATTGTTTCTGTTTGGTACCACAAACGACTCACTCTGATATGACGTTATATGAAAATGAGTAAATGCTGAAACTGAGGATTACGTTTAGGCGCCATTATTTACCATCTGACATAAGTTTTTAAGTCATTTCAGTTCATATAGATCTCCAGTTCACAGGGTGACAATAATATTATATAAAATACAGTTCAGTCCACATGCTCTGATTGATAACATTGATTTGTTTTTATATGTTGGATGATAATTGTTATGTTATCTAGTACTGTGCAAAAGTCTTGGGTGATTTATTGAGATAAAGATTTCACACTGGTCTTTGTTTAGATTTGAGCTACTTTTTAACTTAGTTTGTCATTTACCTGATTTATCAGTTTTTTTGTATTTATGATTACAATTGTATTTATGATTACAATCAGAAATGTTGTTGTAGATATGATTTGTCATTGTTCTTAATGGCCAATTCATTGAATTTTTAACCGTATCTTTCCTGCTCTATCGACTGCTTTTAGCGTCGATGTGCATCCTTTTTCCCATCTCTTTGCCTGTAGAGGAACCAGTTTATTAAAAAAATCAATAGCAGTAACATTTCTCCAGTTTTCAGGAGATACATTTTTAAATTTCTCAGAGTTTCAAGTTTGATTCTCACACCTGCAGCACATCTACTCAGATTTTTAATCATATTTTAATCTAACATCCAGTCAGGTGTGTGAAATGTCTCCTTTGTTGCAGTTCTGGTCAAAGAGAGGAGACAATAAGCAGCTGAAGTCGTGAAAGAAAGTGCCGGGAAACCCTTTATGCAGGGACTCATGCTCCCATTTCTAAGTCTTCATCTGAAAAAGAAAAGTGATGCAGCACATAATGACTGAATCTGGGTTGCTCTGCTCTCCCACTGAGCATACCTGACTGCTCTTATTGAGCTGGGCAAAATTTCAGCCTTTGTGTCCAGAAGAAGTAAATGCAGGTCTCCAACTTGAAAGAAAAATCTTTCAGAAACACTTTTGCAAAGCGATTTCAAAAGCCTCTGATGTAGACGGTTTTTGAAATACTGGAACGAGTCACACACAGGATCTAGCTAACTGTAATGGGTGGAGTGGGTGGAGATGAAACATGAATGCAAAGATGCACATTGACTGTAATCTGCAGAACTATCACGATGACTGCAAGAAAAAAGCTGTGACGTGTGCTGCAACCATGCAGTCCTGAAATAAGATACACATTCATTTGACTCTTCTTTGACCATTTCTTGCAAAAATATGACTGCATCTATGGTCCACAGATTAAAAAAAAAATGGAAAAAGTAATTGAATATTCCTACCTGATAGCAACTCTTAACATTGTGCAATTAGGAATTAACAAATCTAATGCATAGTGCCAGTAATGTTTCAAAATTACATTCGAACTTTCACATTAATCACAAATGAACCTGTTCAATAATTTATTAATCATATGTTTCACATCAAACATCAACTTATTCATTAAAAATACTTTAAATACTCTGGTCGCATAAACAGAAAATACGCCCAGGTGTCAGGCATTTCACCAACAATGCCACATTTCAAACAATGTCAAAAACACAAAAAAAACAAACAAATGGCTCAATTGTAGTTTAGGAGCCTTAAGAGATTAACTTAATGTAATTGGTATTTCTATTTCAGGATCCTAAATAGTTCTATACACCAAAAATACCCAAACTGCATGATTGAATTCTGTTCGCTGAATGCAAAAGTGGTAAAAGACCTAAAACGGATCCAAAAGGAACCAAACTGCTGAATTTGGTAGCTCTGCATCAAGCCCCACACTTTGAAAAGCCCTGAGGTAGTGATAGAATGTTACAGTATAGGTCTCTGTGGTGTAAAATCTCATTCCAGGTCTGCAGTTCATCCAAATGCTCCTTGCTGCTGCTTCCCAGTCATTTTTCCAACCTTTGTTTGGCTGCAGCTCTGTGAAGCATTCACTCTGCGTGATATCTTCCTGTCTTCCTTCAGTTTCCGCTTGCATTGCTTTATTCATTGTGTACGACAGGGAAAGCCTGCTGTCAGGCTGAAATCACTGAAGTTTGTTTGTCATTGCCTGCATGAAATATTCACTTCAGGTTTTGTTTGTCGCCACTGCTCTGCAGAATAAAAACATCATACATAGAAATGACGAA